CCTCCCCAATCCCCTCCACATTTAAATGTACGTAAGCAGATTAGTTGATTTTCAGGGTTTCTTATGAGTAGGCCCTTGCTTTTTATACTGCTCAGAAAGCCCCACAGAAGTGCAATTTGGAAATACCCACTTACAATTTGCTGGAATGTATTTGGGTCTCCTGAATCAATTCTTTAAAGAAATATATACTTAAAGGGCCAACACTATGTCTCTAATTATACCTACTCAGTTGGTAATATATATTTAAGCGGTGCCTGAAGGGTTAACTAACATTATTCCAGTGACTATGGATGCGTTACCTTAAGGTATCCGCCATACATGGGCAGCTAATTTCTCTCTGGAATTTTTCTTGCATGAACGTCCATAATACATTGACTTCCGAAAAGAATTGATTTCCACACAAAATTCCCTGCTTGCCTTAAACCTTTCCCCTCAAGCCACCAGCTGCCTGCATAAATATGTGGTTTTTCCTCATGAATCAGCCCCAGCATACACAATTGAAATTGAGAGGGAAACAGTCTGGTAAGCAATGGGGCTCGAATCTTCAAAGGCCTCTTTTCCAGAAAAGAGCATCATCAGGTAATGGAGGGCCTAAATCAAGCTTTGTCCATCCAGGAATGTCAGCATTTTGGAGGCAGTTTTACATTAGCACAAGATGCTTCATTAATACCAGTGTTGATTGGGATAGGAATTGGGAGTGGGGGACAGTACATGCTGGGCAAGAGGCCATGTATGTTTTGCTTTCACAATCACTTGATAATAACACCATATGAAGTGTGACTTTTTTTATCTGGGAAAAGAGATAGTGATCTCCATTCAATTATTTAGGTAGGTTGGTCCAAGTGAAATGATCATAATTCAGACATTACTCTGGTTCAAGTCTTTATCATCCCTTGCTTCAACCATTTCATATTTGGCCTGTCTCCACTCTCTCCTCTTTCCAATCCTGCCTCTAGAGTGCATATATGACCATGTCATCTGCTTACTCAAGAAGTTTCAATAGCTCCTTTTGCTTCTAGGATGAAATAAAAGCTGCTCTGGCCTTTAAAGTGCTTCAATACCTTGTTTCAACCTCTGGTCCACATTGATTTTCACATCACTTCCCCTTACATACTTTGTTATGACCAAACTGGTCTACTTACCTTCCTTTCATATTCACTATTCTATCCCTGCCTCTGTACCTTTGTTCAGGCTATATCTAATGTTCTATCCCCTCTACTTTTCTTTTGGAATCATAGCTCCATTCAAGGATCAGTACAAGGGTGATTTCCTATAAGAGACCTTTTCTGATGCCCCAAAGTGTAACCAGGTGGCACAGAGGATTGAATGCCAGACCTGGAATCAGGAAGACTCATCTTCTCGAGTTCAAATCTGGCCTCAGACACTAGCTATGTGACCCTGCCTGGTCAAGTCAACCCTTCTTGCCTCAATTTCCTTATCTGTAAAGTGAGCTGGAGAAGGCAATGGCAAACCTCTCCAGTATCTTTGCCAAGAAAATCCCAAATGGGATCACTAAAAGTTGGACATGACTGAAAAACAACTGAAAAAAATGCTCTATCCACCAAATTTCTTTGCATTTAACTTAAAAATCTATATTTTGTATTTACTTATCTATGGTCATATTATTTTGCTCTGGTAGAATCTAAGGTCCTTGAGGGCAGGGATTGCTTATATTGGACTTTATATCCTCAGGACCTTGCATGGTGCTACCAGCTAAATATTAGGAGCTTAATTTTGAATTGTATACAATTGAATTGAGTTATAAGAGAAAACTTGAGCCTCTGACTTCTATGTCCAACTACTTGTCTACTAGCAGAAAGATGGAATACTTATTATTACCAGTATTCATTAGGGATCCTTGATTTTTGTTGTTGTTCCATTGTTTCAGTTATGTCCAACTCTTCATGACCCCATTTGGGCTTTTCTTGGCAAAGATACTGGAGTGGTTTGTCATTTCCTCTCCAGCTCATTACACAGTTGAGGAAACTGAGGCAAACTAGTTTAAGTGATTTGCCCAGGTTCATAGAGCCAGTAAGTGTCTGAGGTTGGACTTGAACTCAAGTCTTCCTGACTCCAGGAAGTGCACCCAGTTGTTTGATTTTGATTTCATGCAAATGTACTCTTTCACAGAGCTTACAAAGGTAATTGCCTGCAGGAGTGTGTTAGAACTAGCTCCAGTTGTTAAATTGTTACACTGTTGAATTTGACTAGAGCCAGAGGTGATTGTTAAATTTTTGGCATGAGCATTTATGCTTTAGAAATCAGCAAATGTAAATCATGGCTTGATTTATTGTTTTATTGATTGTCTGGATTTAAGAAAATGATGAGGAAAACATTCACTTAAACTTAGAAGTGTGTCTTGCTTACATTTTTTGTAGAATCAGTTTTTAAACATTTATCAACATACCACTGTGGGGAATGCTACTCTTAACATCTGCTCCTCTCGGGCAGCTAGGTGGCTCAGGGGATAGAGCACTGTCCCTGGAGTCAGGAGGACCTGAGTTCAAATCCAGCCTCAGACCTAACACTTGACACTTACTAGCTGTGTGACCCTGGGCAAGTCACTTAACCCCAACTGCCTAAAAAAAAAAAAACACATCTGCTCCTCTCATATAACCTTCAGATATGAGTGACTGGGTCTTTTTTAACAAGTACTTCCCAGGGATGTGATAAACAATTGCTGTGACCCTTTCCTGTGATTTTCGATGGTGTAATAACAATATTAATAATAATAATAATAGAAACAACAATGGCAGCTTACATTTCTACTGGACTTTAAGATTTACAAAGAGTTTTCTCATAACAATTCTCTGAGATGGATCAAACATATTATCCTATTTCACAGGCAAGGGAACTGAGTAGTTAAACGACTTTTCTATAGTTATATTACTAATAAATGACAGAGCTAAAATTTGAACTCAGGTCACCTCTTGTAACAAATAATAAAGGGTGAGAATAAATCAGCTCAGCAAAACATTGACCAAGCCCAGCAGTTGATGTAATGTTCCATATCCATAATCTCCTACCTCTTCAAAGAAGACAGGGAAATGTACCTCTCTCTCTCTCTCTCTCTCTCTCTCTCTCTCTCTCTCTCTCTCTCCTTCTCTCTCTCTCCCCTTCTCTCTCTCTGTATCTCTCTCTCCTTCTCTGTTTCTTTGTCTCTGTCTCTCTCTGCCTCTGTCTGTCTGTCTGTCTGTCTCTCTTTCTCTCTTTCCCTCTCTCTGTATCTCTCTCTGTCTTTCCCTTTTTGGTTGAGCTTGATCACAATAATTAGACAGTGTTAAGCTTATTTTTCTTGTTCTTTCCATTTACTCTGCAGTAGTCATTGTGCATATTGTTTTTTCTGGTTTAATCATGTTTTTGATTCCATAATGAGGATGGCCTTTCAGTGGAAATTGAGGGGACAGAGATGCTAAGCCTCACTGAATCAACATGTTGCTCCAGGCTACATAGCGTCCAAGGTATTTATAGTCTTGTGGCTTGTCCTGGCTTCCACTAGCAGTATATGAATGGATTTAAGGGTTCAATTTAATATTTATTTGTTTAAAATTGTAATATATAGTTTTTACAGAGGTTGAACTACATGACAGGGAATTTGATATAACAGAAGGAGCCCTGGGCAGGGAGTGGGGAAAGGGAGGGGAACAGACATTTATTAAGCATCTATTATGAGGCAGACAGATATGTACAAATATCTCATTTGATCCTAACAACCACCCCAGGAAATAAAGTTTATTAATATCCCTATTTTATAGTTGAGGAAACTGAGGCAGACAGAAGTTAAATGACTTGCCTAGAGTCATACAGCAGCAAGTATTTGAGGGTAGATTAAACTCAGGTCTTCCTGGTGCCAGGCCCAGCACTCTGTCCCCTGCGTCATCTAGGAGACCTAAATTCACTTATTGTCTCTGCCACTAACTGACTGTATGATCCTGAGAAATCCCCTCCCTGTCTTTGGGCCTTCGTTTCCATAGAGTGATGGTGTTAGAGTCTAATGATGCCTAAAGTACCTGCCAACTCTGAAAGTTCGGGGGTTCTCTGTGAAGTGCATGATTAAGTGACCTACATATAGCAGAAAAATGGTAAAAAATCAATGCAATGAAATAAAGAGGTAACAAGGTAAGATGGTATATAGGGAGAGAAAATGTTCTGTACAATGAAAAGATTAAGAATAACTACATAGTTGCATATAGACTGGAGAAAATATAGATCTTAACTTAAGCAATAGTTTAATCAGCAAGATAGTGAGTTCTATTGAATTGTGTCCCTGGGCTCAACTGCTTGGCTATGTCCTTAGATTATGTGTAAAATCTTGCCCTACCTCCTATCTGTTTTGAAGGCTGACATGGTTCATGTTCCTAAGCCATTGGTTATTGCCTTCCTTAAATAGAAGTGTGATATTAGAGAAATGCACTGGATCAGTAGCAGCCTGTCTAGGTTGTTTGGGCATGCTTGGTCACATTGCTTGGTTTATCTTTGTTCTCCCTTGTGGGTCTGGCTCCCCTAAAGTGGTAAAGAAATGTTTTTCATCTATCTATCTATCTATCTATCTATCTATCTATCTATCTATCTATCTATCTATCTATCTATCTATCTATCCATCCATCCATCTCTCTATGTCTCCATCATCTGTCTCTATTATAGCTATTTTCTATCATTTATCTATCATTGTATCTATCTTCTATGACCTATCTATATATGTCTTCTGTGAGATTTATTAAGTAATAGCAGGAAAGGCATTTTATAATCTCCTTCTTAGGATAGCTTAAAAACCCACAATTCTAGTTATCTGGAATGGGTTAGTTGCACTCCTGTTGTGCTACTTAAAGGAAGGGGTATAAGTAGAAGTCCTTTCCATCCCTAAGATTTAATGTTGGCAAACAGTATAGACAAGAACATATTGAGCAGAAGAACAATACCTTGAAATCAGAGTTTCTTTTCCCCCAGGAATCTTAGCATCTGAGGGGTAACTATTCTAACAATCACATTATTTCCTGCAGAGAAACATGGTGTGTGCTGCTGGATATGGTTATTTCTTTCATCTTGTAACCAGTGAAACTTCGAAAGCTCCCCTCCTGTCCTTCAGTCAGAATGTAGCCCGTTCCTGTACAAGGTACCTCTATTGGAAACTCATATGGATGTATTTCAGCAACAGGACTATATTTGGGCTGTATGTGTGTGTGTATGTGTGTAAAACTATGCATGTGTAAAATTTTAATTTTACATATAAAATGTAGAGTTCATTTGTAGTTAATGAGCATCCATGATTCTAGTATATAAAATGTTTTGCATCACAAAAGGTTGCCTAAATTGATCTTTCTGTATAATTTATATGCAAGACTGATGAATTATTTTTATTACTAGTTATTCCCAATGTCTTGAGCACTTTCTGTTTAGAGTATTTTAGGAAATAAGCTGTACTCTTCCAAAAAGGAGGTGAGTAACTTGATCTTTGTTTTGCCAACAGGAAAGTGAGATAACTTGGCCAAAGATAGAGAGGAGGAAGTTCATAGTCCAGGATTTTCTTTGACAGATAGTAGAATATGGAGGCATGTGAAAGTAAATTAGAAACCAGAACATGCATAGTAGAAAACAAGTGAACCTGATCATTTTAGGTTCTCATTTCGAGTTTAATCATCTATCCAATTGAGGTATCATGTGCTAGGGATTTTCTTTTGGTTATTTTTTTTTCTTCAGTAATTGAAAAAAAGAAAAAAAACAGTTGGGGCTGTGATTTCTTTGGTATAGAGAATTCCACATGAGGAAAGATCTTGCACTGATGCCAATAAGCATCTCTTCTGTAGTTTGTAATCTTAGACATTTGTTTGGGTCACTGAGAGATTAAGTGGCTTGTCCAGAGTTACACAACAAATATGAGAGAGGTCTGATTTGAACCTAGGTTTTAAGGTCAGAGGAAGGCAGTGATATAGTGGAAAGAACACTGAACTCAAAGTCATAGCACCTGAGTTCAAATCCTGATTCTGCCATTTATTATCTATGTGACCTTGGATAAGTCAGTGAATCTCTTTGTGCCTCAGTATATAAATACCAGTTATTCACAATTTTACTCCTGTTCTCTTTGTTTATCCTGTGTCATTGCAAATTTGTATTTTTAAGGTCAGCACACAAGAGAGTGTTTTCTCCTACATACTAAGATTGACAGTTATTCTTTCATAAGATGCATCATAGAAATGCTTCTGTATTAGTTTTGTGGTTCCCCCATCTCAGGCTTTTCTTTTTGTTGTTGCTAATTAAGACTTTGTGAATAGAGTGAGATAATCAGTATAATTTTGAAATCAATCTTTTTGTTGAAAATAGATCTATTTAAATATTTATGCAAAACTGTCAAGCTAGTTGTGATTTTGAAATGTTAATGCACAATTTGAGAAAAATTTAAAGACATCAAATTGTAAAACTAGGTATAATTACTTGCCTTCCTTGCTAGTTCTTTTCTGTGTTAAATCATTGCTTTTATTTCACCTTGAGTCTTTTAACTCAGAGTTAGAAATTCTTCCACAGTTGATTCAGTCTTCATTCATTTTTGTCTAGCTTCTTTCTTGGTATCAACTGCTTTTGCATCTTCCACATCTGGTAGTTATGGTGTTTCAGTTAAGGAAATCATTCTAGTTATTACCTTCCCTCAACAGCGTCACTGTGAAAATAAATCCCCAGAGATTCCAGCTTCTTTTTTTTCTTCTTTTTTGAAAGAGAGAGATCTTTACTTTTTTGTTATTTTCCCATGGGTTAGATGGGGCAAAACATTCAACGAAAGAAATTATTGGGGCATAAAAGGATCTCCACATTTGCCATTTTGATACTCCCTGATTATATTATAGAATGAAGTTATTTGCTGACAAAGATTCCCCTTTATAGTCTTGGTTCTTTGCCCCTAGAAACTAGAGCCTGGTTATCTCTCAGTTTGAATAATCCTTTAGCAACTATCACACCACACAATTAGATACAAACCTGCTTCTGATAGTTTGGAACTAACAAGAAAAATGATACCTATGCTAGTGTATAATTTTAAAAATAACCATCCATTTCAGCAGAACTTGGTAAAACTTTGGTCAGACGTGATTTCTTTGTACTCTAATATAAGGAAGTCCTAATTACTGATACTTTCCTGGTCTTATATTTACCTTATGTTAATAATCTATACTACATTAAATCTCTGAATTCACATTCCACTGCTTCAGAATTTCACAGAATCCCAAAGGTACAGAATTTAGCACTGAGAGGGACCTCAGCAGCCATCTACTTTTACTATACCCCAAAGGAAGGTTCACTGTCAATTACAGCAACAGTTATCCAGAATGGTCCTCCACTGGGAGCATTCTCCAATGTGGAACTTGCATTAGGGAGGACCATTCTACCCATTATTAAATAAAAATTTTTCTAAAACAATTAGGAACATACATAAGAATGTAAGGGGAATAGCCTTCACTTGAGACAATAAAAGGATTTCAAGTATTTTAATAGCTTTCATTTAAATTTATAAAATTTATTATATTCACTGTGAAAATAAGTCAATCAAGATGATGAGAATTACTATAAATGAATGATTACTACATAGCTGATATTCTTCTACTACTTTAGGCATTGTATATCAGGGATGGGGAACATGCAGGCTTGAGACCACATGTGACCTTCTAGGTCCCCAAGGCTGTGCTTTGACTGAATCCAAACTTCACAGAACAAATCCCCTTAATAAAATATAATATAAAACAGGGAATCTTAATCTTTTTGTGTTATGAACACCTTTGGAAGTCTAGTGAAGCTTATGGTCTCTTCAAAATAATGTTTTAAATACATAAAATTTCAAAGAGAATTGATTATATTGAGATGCAGCTATTAAAGTATTTTTTAAAAAGTTCATGGTCAGAGAGCTGGGCTTATGAGATGGAGGATGCAAAGGCTTCATGGAGAAGCTGACATTGAAAGAAGGATGGAATTCAAATAGATGGAAAGGAAATGGAGAAGGGGCTTTCCAGACCGAAAGAAGCAAAGTCAATAAAGGTACAAAGACAGAAATTATTATGGAATAAATGCAAAACATATGCTAATTTGGAGAAGAAACTGGCATATTTCTAGTGAAGGATACATGTAGGAGCATCAGGCCATCATATTAGCTGGGCAGAGTGAGCCAAGTTATGGAGCACAGCAGAAGCTAAAAGAAGTCTGCATTTGAAATGAATAAAATTCTATTTTTAAAAAATTACTCTGTGCTTCAGACTTTCTATTAATTCAGAGAAGTTTTTTAACTAGTTGTCCTTAATTAGTGGGATTTTATTTTGATGCATAAGTTTTAGTATCATTGGGATCTGAGTTTGAAGAGATCTCAAAAGCCAACTTGTTCATCTAACCTAAGCATGAGCAGGAATCCCCTTTGTTATATCCTTGATAAGTAAGTGATCACTCAGCTTCTACTTGAAGACATCAAATATTGCCTCTGACACTTCCTACCTTGGTGGCCTTGGGTAGGTTATCTAGCATTCATATGTTTCCTCAATGGCTTTTGAGGTGTCTTCCAGCCCTAAATCTTTTTTTATTAGTATCTTTAATTTTATAACTTTGCATATATTATCTCATTTGAACCTCATAACAACCCTGTGAGGGAGATGTTATCATCTCCATTTTACAGGTGACAAAACTGAGGCTAACAGATGTTTAATGACTTGCAAAAGTCACATGTCCAGTTATTGTCAGAGATATGAATTAAACTTGGGCCTTCCTGAGTCCAAATTCAAGGTTCTTTCTACTGAGCTGCAGCTCTAAATCTTGCTCTTATGACTTAAAAATGAGAAAGGCACAACCTTCTGCAGAAACCCATTAATGGTTAAGATGCTTTGTGTTTGCACAATACCTGTAAAGCAGTGGAAAATTCCTGATGTTCTCCATTGTTGAGGGCTAATTTCTTATCCCTTTGGGTTATTTTACAATAATACCTTAGAGAAGGAGGACAGAAATAAAACTACTAAACATAACTTAAGCTTGTTAATTAAAAGAACAAGTTTTGTTATTTTTTTCTCTTCTGTTGAGTTTTGTTTCCTGTTTCTGATGGTTCCTCCTATTGATTTTAATTTCTACTTACAACATCACTAATGTGAAAATGTGTTTAATATGAATGTAAATGTATATCCTATATCAGACTGTGCACCATCTTGGGGAGGGTGGTGGGGAGGAAGGGGGAGAAAAATTTTAAACTCAAAAGCATATAGAAGTGATTATTGACAAATCAAAAAATTAATACAATAAATAAATATAGAAAAAATAAAAGAACAAATTTTAATGAATCAGATCATGTGAAAGTTAAATAACTTAATTAAAACAAAATAAAATGGTAGTTCTAATGCCATTCAAGTTATAGAATATATTCTGAAACTAATGATGGGAAGAAAATTGTTTGAAAAATGAGGGTGGTAGCATTTAGATCATTGGGAATACCAGATAAATGATAATCAAGGCTCCCAATCTCTATAAAGAACTTGTGTTCTTCTATCTTGCCATGAAAAGGATAGATGTCATCAAATCAGAAAACTGTTGATCATGCCTTATAATTTTCTTTTATAGGTATGGCCTCCTCGTGTATCCCAGGTTTGAACCACCACGAGCAAATGACACTGGTCCCACTTTGTTCCAGAACTTCACAGTTTGGGGAAGTCAAGGTGGTGTTCAGGTAAAGCCTAAGCTAGCCCCCTCTTAATGTCCTTAATGATTCTCTTAGGACAGGAGAGCTTGTGAAAATCTTTTATTTCTCTATTACTAACTGAGGATTTACTAAAGAGAGGAGCAATTATAATAATGATAACATGAATTATAATTTGGAATTAGATTATAAGCTACTCAAAGCAGGCACTATATCTTTTATTTTGTGTATATGCTTTCTTTTAAAAAAATTTTAATGAACAAAAATCTATTCTCCCTCCTTTCCACATAATCAAGGCTAGGGATCATATCTTTTACTTTTGTCTTTTATCTCTCTCTTACCTCCCCTTACTGGAAAAAAAAAAGGACCCCCCCAACTACTTATAATAAATATGCATAGTCAAGGAAAAAAATTCCTACATTGGCCAATTCCAAAGAATATATTCTTCTTTGCATTCAATAGTCAACAAGCATTTATAAGCTACCAGTTCTGTTCAATAGACTGTGCCAGGTGCTTAGGGGAGAACTGTAACTATCCCAGTAGAGAAATAGTACTTTTACTGTTTCCATCCTTCCTCCCTTATTCTTTCTCCCCTGCCTTTCTCTCTCTCTTACTCCCCATCTCTCTTTCTTTCTGTCTTCTTATCTTTTTGTATGTATGTATATATATATATATAAAATTGTATACATATACATGTATAAAAAGTATAATACACACATACACACTTGCACATGCACACACACACACACACACACACACACACACACACACACACAGTCATAGTCAATCCTTAACTTTTGCTGGAGTAACATTCCTAGGAAATTGCCTAAAAGTAAAAAGCAGAATGTTGATATTAAACCTATGGGATATAGGGGGTTAGGTTCCCACAACCACCAAAAACTATCATCTTTCACTAGAGATTGATTGCTAAAAATATACTTTTGTTCATATAATTCTTTATAAAAAAACATTAGTTCTGATAATATGCATTTTCCCTAACATAGTAACCATGAAATAATCCATAAAATGCAACACATAAAATAAAATTGGAAACATGCAAAACATTTTTTTCTCACTTGTAATTCCCTAGAATTATGTGACCTTTTGTGCTAACATCTCAATGCAAAATAATTGATTTCAGATAATATTCACTTTTCAGAATCCATGTAATCTACAGTACCATAAATACCCTACAGCAAATAAAATTCTTAAAATTAAAACATTTTTTAACCTGATTCTTACATTTTACTGTGTCAGACGGCAGTGTGAGGGTTTGTACTATATATTATACTGCTGTAAACCTCTCTATTTTGACCACCCTCTAAATACTGAGGGAGAGGTTTCTGGAACTTTGGTCACTGCTGTTAGAAGGTGACAAGGTTGGTGACATCATCTCCAATGTTCTGTCCTTTATGACTAGAGGGTGGCATTGGAGATCATGAAGGATACACCATCTTGAAATAATCTGTCAGCGATGTCTGCTTCCCCATTTGAGATGCTTAAGGGTCTCAGAGTATGGGAGCAAAGCAGAGATGAGTAGTTTAACCTTGAACCTGTGATTGATGATGGGATCAGCAAACAATGAAAATAAGCAATTAATACACAAGGAACTCTTTATTATGGTAGGATGAACAAGAGCAGTGAAGCACCTAGTAGATACCAGCTACTTCACAAATTTGCATGCATCGTGCCTCTCATTTTTTTCTATTGTGCATAACAAGTTGCCAACAAGAAAGTGAAAGTGAGTTTTTCTTGAGAATGTTGAGAATTGACTATATAAATATACACATATCCCGATTTGTATATAGTTTTGTCTCTGTGTATGTATATGTAGGACCCTAAGTAAATAATTGCTGAATAAATGAATAAGTTGCCATTAACTTTCCAATGATTATTTTCCTTTGAAAATGACCAGCAACATTGGCATAAAATCAGAAATTTTTTAGAGTTGAAAGAGACCTTAGGGAACATCTAGTTTACGCCCTATCATTTCAAAGATGAAGAAACTAAAATCCAGAGAAGTTAAATGACTTGCCAGGGTCAGTGGTATATTCCATAAGACCTCCAAGTCTATTGCTTTTCTCCCTACCCTGTTCTGCCTATGCTAATACCTGTCCTTGTTCATGGACATAGTGGCCCAAGTTCAGATTTAAGCTATAATCAAGACAAATAAATATTGAGACAGACAAACAGTAAATCTGTGCTTATGCTGTATTAGTTGTTTCTTTATAGATTGCTATTAAGATTGGTTAAGGGTAGCTAGGTGTTGCAGTTGATTGAGTGCCAGCCCTGGGATCAAGAGGACCTGAATTCAAATCTGGCCTCAGACAGTTACTAGCTGTGTGACACTGGACAAGTCACTTCACGTTGTTTGTCTCAGTTTCTTTGTCTGTAAAATGAGCTAGAGAAAGAAGTGACAAACCACTCCAATATCTTTGCCAAGGAAACTCCAAATGGAGCCACAGAGAATCAGACATGACTAATTAACTAGATAACAATAAGATTGGTTTTGATAAAACTACACTTTGGAGGAAGATACAAAGCTCAGAAATTTTTGGAAACTTGTTTTTCTCTATTTGCACTGTATGAAAATCATGAACTTATTTTAAGTGTTTTAAATATATGAGTCCTTCACATTGACCTCATTAAGAGTTTAGTTATCTTGAGAAGTCTTGAAACATTCATAGAAGTTATTGCCAAATGGTGCTGATCTACGTGGTAACATAAGAGCAGGATAGGAACATCTGTGTCAGTGTGGATAGTCAAACCTTTTTAATCTCTTGAGAGTCAGTGTTTTCTTCTTTCTGCATGGGGGGGGCAGAACAGGAGCAGTAGAATATAACCTCCTTGAGGGTAGGGATTATTATTTTTTAATATTCATATCTCCATTGCCTAGCACTGTGCTTGGAACACAAAAGGTTCTTTTTTTTTTTTTGCTTTTTGGTGAGGCAATTGGGGTTAAGTGACTTGCCTAGGGTAACACAGCTAGTAAATGTCAAGTGCCAGATTTGAACTCAGGTCCTCCTGACTCCAAGGCCAGAGCTCTATCTACTGGGCCACCTGGCTGCCCCAACACAGGAGGTTCTTAAACAATTGCTAATTGGATTGAGAAAAAATATACCAGGTTTCTTTTGTTTTTTTGTTTGTTTTGTTCAGTCAATACTTATGAAATATAAGCTTTGATGAAAGGATGATCATGCTATATAGCCCGTTACTATAACACATGCTATTATTTTATAGATTTTCAGAAGTAGCAATCTTCAGCTTAAAAATTTCCAGATTTATCCATGCAAAGATTTTGGGATTGACATCTTGGAAAGTGATGCAAATTCCTCAATTACTGATAGCTTATTGCTTGGTCATTATGCCTCGAAGGTAAGTATGGTTTCTTTGGGTTGTCCACTGATAGTATCATCTTGGTAATGCTCCAGTGAGATCTGTGTTATGTATTTTAGTTCAATCAAGTCAAGTCACCAAACATTTGCTGAGTGCCCATTATGTGCCAGGCACAGTAGCTAAGCACTGATGATACAAAGAAAAGGGAGGAATAAAGGAGCTAGGTGATGCAGTAGATTGAATGCCAGGCCTGGAGTCAGGAAGACTTGTGTTCAAATCTGGCCTCAGACCCTTACTGGTTCTGTGATCCTGGGCCAGTCACTTAAACCCTGTTTGCCTCAGTTTCTTCATCTGTAAAATGAGTTGGAGAAGGAAATGGCAAACCACTCCAGTATTTTTCCTAAGAAAACCCCAAATGGGGTCATAAAAAGTCGGACACAACTGAAACGACATTAACAACAACAAAGTAAAGAAGACCGGAAAGTCTTAACAGTAATAGGACTCATTCAGTGCATCTTAAGTGTAATTGGTAAAAGGGAAGGAGCCCATCATTTAGATGACTATACTTATAGAGATCAAAACCATACCAAGCTCTGTTTTTCTAACCAGTAGCAAGGGAACTATGAAATATTTTTCTGATCTTAGTTGACAGCATTTTCAGAAACATCCTGTATTCAAAAATCAACAACAATACTAGTTTTGCCCACAATGGAACGATGATGGAATTTTAAGGGTGAAGGAGACTCAGGTTAGCTAGTTCAACCAGTACATATCTTAATAAGAATCCATTCTATTACATGTTCAGCTTTTATCTGGAGACTTAAAGTGATAGGAAACTTCAAAATTTAAAGAAAATGATAGAAACTTCTTTCCCAAACAACTCATTTCACTTTTGTAAAGTTCTAGTTGTCAGGAGGGCAAGAGCATGATGTAATGGATAGAGTGTAGGGAGACAGGAAGACCTGTGTTCAAATCCCTCTTCTGACACCAACTAGGTGTATGATTATGGGCAAAACATTTAACTTCTCAATGCTTCAGTACGCTTTATAAGTTACAGATAAGTTGCCAATCTATACACTGTACACTGGGAGTTTCCTGCACATATGTACCCCCTGCCCCAATGGTTAGGATATTTTTCCATAAATAAGTCTGAAATCTACCTTCCTAAAACTTCAGCCCATTACTCCCAGTTCCACCTTCTCAGTCCCACCAAAGCCTTTAAGCACTCTCAATAGGTAAACTCATAGACTGACTCCGTCTATGCCAAGCCAATTTTCTTCATGAATTCTTTGCCCACATGCATGTCAGACAAAGAAGTTTCTGAAGTAGAAGGAATAAGCAGAAATGGAGATAGTGTGCCCTCATTACCTTAGATGAGAGGCATTGTGGGAGAGTAGAGTAAGAAGCAGACTTAGAATAAGACCCATGTTTTATCTTCAGTTATGCCAGATCTTCATGGTGTGACTTCACGCATAGAATTATAGGTATACAGATTTCGTTAGGAGGGACCTTAGAGGTTATCTAGCCCAAACCCTACATTTCACAAATGGGAATCTGAGACCCAGAGAGATTAAGAGACTTGCCTAAGGTCACACACCTAGAAAGTGAAACAGCCACAAGTCATTTAATTTTTTTGACACTGGTTTTTCACCTAGAAAACAGAAATAATAATGCTCATAGTGTTTTTTGAAGCTCAAATAAGACAATACAGGTAAAATACTTTGTAATAGTATACAGTGATGTCGTCTACTACTACTGTTGTTTTTTTATGAGGGTTTCCCACTGCTATCCCAAGCCTACATTTCTAAAACAATGACAATTGTTAGAGATCTCTTCTCAACCACTATGTAGTTGAGGGAATGGCTGGTAACTCTTTTGACTTGATGAAGTCTAGGAACTGCTTCTGGGTGACTGTCTGTTTTTTGAAACATAAAACAAATAAGGCCAACATGCACCTACATTGAAATGGAAAAGATGAGATGTATGGAAATGGCATATCAGAGAGCTAGGATAGGCAGCAGGGGAGTATGGTGTCTGTCTTGGTCCTCTTTCATAGTAGTTCATAAAGTTGCCATGTTGATGGTTTCTACTGCTTATAAGCTTGATATTGACTTCACATCAAAGCTGTGTAACAGGCAATCTGGCAACCTCTATTATACAATTGTGGAGATTAGGAAATCTGTGGATTGAGCATAAATCAGTGCTGTACAAATCAGAACTGGGCAAAGACAGAACTAAAGAAGGCTCTATATCTCTGGTTCTAATGATTTGTCCAGTTTGGTTTTATGTATAGCACTTTGAAAATCTTAAAGTGCTATATAAATAGTAGCTATCATCATCATCATCATCATCATCATCAATGACTATCATGCCCTCTATTACTTCTCTTAAGGGACTAATTCATAGGCTAATAGGTATTCATACCTATAAGAACTTTTTAGGCACTATTATCAAAGCTAAATTTCCTGTCCCATTATCTTGCTAAACATCTTTTGGACAATCCTCATGAGAGGAAAATTAATGCTAATCTTTCCTTCTTTCTAAAGAGTTAATATTTGTGAGATGTTATGATTATTTGTATTATGAATTTGTTTGGAGAGGATGCTCCTCAGATTTAAAAACCATGACAGTAGTGGATCAGAGGCATTGAACATTCCCAGAAATCTCCTTTAACCCTTATCTTCTTCTCTCACCAAAAAAAAAGATGGATGAGAAAAGAGAAAAAGAAGAACTATGGAGATGAGTAACTAATCTTCTTGTTAAATTGATGTCACAAAGTTTTAACTGATGTTAACTAGACATCATTATTAATGGGAAAATTACATAAATTAAGATGTAAATTATGACAAGGGGGTTCTTATCACGAGATAATCAAAGATAATCACACCCCTGAGGTGCTACTAGTAATGCAATGCAGTTGAATGCCTCTAAATCCCTTAACCAGTGCACTACTAGAGTTCTCTGTTGGGAAATATTAAACAAAACTCCCCAGGTCTGTTCTGGACAAAATCTGATTGCTAGAATCTCCAAAAGCTAATCTTTACACTGTTATTGGTATGAGGGAAGTCATTCTTTTAAATCACAGAACTACAAGATTGTAGAGGAAGAAGCAGCCTTAGAGATTATCAAGGGATTATAGATGAGGAAACTGAGGTCCCAGAAGTAAAGATATAAATTTCCTAAGATCACAGAACTAGTTAGTGACAGAATCAGGAGAAGAACCTAGACCTTCTTGCTATCATTCTAATATACTTTCTATTCTGTAGAGAAGCTGTAGAATATGTAATGGATTGATCTGACTCCAAATCCAGAAAGACCTGGGTTCAAATCCTGGCTGGCAACCCCAGGCAAATAACTTAATTTCACAGTACTCTAGGTATTTTGTGACTTTAAGTTTCAGAGAGGGTCATAACCTGCATCGATGGGTGAATTTACTTACCTGAAAGTTCCTTTTTCGAAAAAAAAATCATGATTCTAGTCCTTCCTCTTTATTTTGTCACAATAAATATATTCATGGAACAAAACATGGTTATCTTGGGGATTCTGTTGAAGTTTTATAAACATTTCCTATTAGAATGATAGTGGGGGTTGTTACAGAGAACAGTGAATGGTCTTGCAGTCAGAAGAACTGTATTTAAGTTTTGCCTCTGATACTTCTTAGCCATGGAAAGTGCTTGGTAAACTTTAGAATCTAATGATGCAGTTGTGGGCTACTATTATTCTTTTGGTTATTTGAATGGCCTGTTATCCTAGTGTGATGCATCTGAAAATGTAAGTAAGGTGTGGCTAGGCTACCACATGAGATTGGTTAGGACCCAAGCCAAAGTTTATAAATTACTTGAATTTTATCAAATATTGCTTTATACTCATGTTTTGAACTTCTTCATTTGATGGGAAAACAGAAATAACCATTGTGCCATCAGCATAAATAGCACTTTACAACAGATATTGTGTCTTCCCATTTGCTATAGTTCCTAGTCTAGTGAATAGAGCATTGACTTGGGAATTAAGATTATAGCCTCATTGCCAAAATGTTGCCTTTGCCTCAGTGTCTCATAGACATACGTAAGTATAGACTTAACAATCAAAGTGAAGAGACTTCAAATTTTTCAGAGAAAAAACTCTGTATGAGCCTCATGGATCACTTTAAAAAACCAATTGTTGAAGATCATACTTGCAAGTGTGTCTGAGAAGCTAATGTATGTATGGAGATATATATATATATACATATATATATATATATATATACACACACACTCAAAAGGTATATAACTTTATGTAGAATGCTAAAAAAGGAATGTGCCTGACTTCTCTGTTGGCCATGTCACTTTGGATTCAACCACTGACTTTCATGTGGTCCATTCTTTTAGGAGTTGGAATTTTCAGTGTTTGGCCATTCTCAGACCAACCACTTAGAATTGTAAGCATGCAATCATGAATAGACCTGAACCTACAGAGAATATACTACTTTCTGATAATTTACATATCTGTGCAAGGTTATTTATCTCTTACTCAGACATATCTGTGTTTTATTATATTCAATGAAATCTTGGTGGCTAAGTGGGTGGATTCATTTCTTGTGGGTTAATACCCAGAGTAATAGTATTAGTAAAAACTCACTTATATAGCATTTTCTGGTTTTCAAAACACTTTCCTCATGTCCACCTTATGAAACAGGCATAATTATTATCCTCATTTTTCAGATGAGGCTTAAGAGATCATAGAATTATGGAAATTTAATATTATGAAACTAATTAGAATTTATATAGCACTTTAGGATTTGCAAAGCACTTTACAAATATTATCTCTTTTGATCCTCTAACAACCTTGAAAGGTAGGTTATCCTATTTTACAGATGATGAAATTGAAGTAGGCAGAGATTAAGTGACGACCAGTGTCACAAAGCTAGTAAATGTCTAAGGGTAGATTTGAACTGAAGTCTTCCTGACTCCAACTCCAGGACACTATCCACAAAGACACTTAGCCACCTAGGACCATGGAGACCATATAATCTAGGAGTGGGGAACCTACAACCTCAAGGCTACATGTGGCCTTCTAGGTCCTCAAGTGCGGCCCTTTGACTGAATCCAAACTTCACAGAATTTTAAAGATCATCAGATCATATATCACAAATTTAGAATTGGAAGGGATTTTAGAGGCAATTTAGTCCAATGCCCCCATTTTGCAGATGAGGAAACTGAGAATTAACTTGCTTAAGGTCACACCCCAAGGGTACCACTAGTAAATGTCAGAGCTAGATTGGACACACATTTTCTGATCCCCAAGTCTAAAACTCTTCCTAATACACCACATTGCTTATCTATTTTTAGGGATGATTTTTTAAAGGTAATAAGTGTGATTCTTCACTTTTATAGGACCAAGGACTAGGGGGGACTTTAGAGGCCATCTAGCCCAACCTCTTCTTTTTTGTAGAGAAGGAAACTGAGGCCCAGGGATGTGAGCTGACTTGTCCAAAGTTTTTGAACTAGTGAAAATATCATAGTTTACTCTGCCAGAGTAAATAAAAATTTCAGAGTTAATAAGAACTTTCTTATATCTTCTCTTTGTTTCTCCAGTGTAGAGGAGTCATCCCAGTCAAGGGGCAGAAAAAGGCATGGCTTGGAAACACATTTTCATGCTTGCTCTGTAGCCTCAGCTTACATATAGGAGTGGGAATAAATTACTAGAAAAGTTCTCAACTCAATTTTTATTTGATATTTTTAAAAGTATATACATATATATGTGTGTGTGTGTGTGTGTGTGTGTGTGTGTGTGTGTGTGTGTGTGTATCATATAAATCAACAAACATTTATTTTGTCTTCCCCTCATCTACCCACCCTGGGGAGGAGGAAGAAGGAAAATAAAAGCCTTATAATAAATACGCAGAGATAAGCAAAACAAATTCCTGCATTGACCAATGTCCGAAAATGTGCATTTCATTCTGAATATTTAGTGCATCTTCTCTCCAGCAGGAGGTAGAATCCTTCAATGATCCTCTAAAATGGTGGTTGGTCATGATGTTGATCAGGATTCTTAAGCTTTTCAATGTTCATTTCTTTAGTGTTCTTGTTATTGTATAAACTGCCCTGTCTCTATATCAGTTCATTCGTTTTATTTGGCCAGTTGTTATATTTTCTTTTCTTTTTTACCATCAGCAAGGGAGTTCATGTATGTCAGTTGGAATAAAAACCCCTAAGAGACAGGAATTGTTGGTGTCCAAAACGACCTTTGTGAATTTTGATCGAAACAACTGCATTGCCATAAGAACCTGCTCGAGCTGCTATCGAGGACAAGGTGAGTTCTAGGAGTACATGGTCCAGGAAGGAATCTAGACTGAAATGCAACAGAGTATTATAAAGGGTAGAGGTTATCTAAGAATTCCTTTTCTTTTTTTGAGGCAATTAAGGTTAAGTGACTTGCCCAGTGTCACATAGCTAGTAAGTGCCTGAAGTTAGATTTGAACTCAGGTCCTCTTGACTCCAGGGCTAATTGCTCTATCCACTGTACCACCTAGCTGCTCCTAATAATTACTTCTTAATCATGGAAATAAATCAACAGAGACATCAGATGAAAGCCCAAAAAAAGGAAAACCATGCTAAACAATCTAGAGATGAAAGACTTACGAACCAGTTACTTAGATCTTCTCGCCCACAATTCTAGTATTATTGGTGTTATTGTTATTGGGTAGTAAAACTATTCAAATTCAGGATAATTTACTATCCCCATCCCAGTCTTCATAAAACAAACAAACAAAAACCTAGGGAAACTTAAAGGTTATTTCAGCAAAACAAAAAGTGAAAGGGAATAGGTGATAATCTGGCCTATTGATCATTGTAGACAAATCAACCAAGTAATTCAATCACAAGGAGTCAGTTTTGGAAGAAAGTAAATTCTGCAAAGTAAGAATTAACTCTCCTTTGACAGCCTTTTTAAATGCAACAAAGAACTTTTTTTCCCTTGGCATGGAATTCATATTCATATCCCATTGATGTTATGAAAATAACAGTAATATCAAATTTAGTTGTTTAGGGACCAGTGTTTCAGGTGATGAGGGATCTCTTCAGGAATTGCTTTGCTGCTTCACAATTTTCATGAGATACTGAGTAAATCAATGAGACTTACCACTATGTAATGAAAAGAAGACTGATCTTTGAATCAAAAAATTAAGACTTACTAGTTCTGTGACCTTTAGCAAATAAGTCACTTTACTTTTCTAGACCTCACATTTCTCATCTGTAAAATGGGTATAATGATATTTCCTCTATCTGCCTCATGGTTTTTGTGAGGAAAAAAAATCATTGTAAACCATGAAATAGTATCAAGATGTGTCTCGTAGTGATTACACAAATATTAGCTCTAAATCAAAGCCTTATTGGTGACTTCTTATGCCAACTCTTTCTGTGTGCTTGGGTACATCTCTACTAGGTGGTCTCTGATCCCAGATTTCTGGGATTCTTTGACATGATCTCTTCCACCAAAGGGCTTAAAATCTCGTTGGAGAAGCAGGAAATAATAATAATAATAATAATAATAATAATAATAATAATAATAATAATAATAATAATAATAATAGGACAAAGCAGTGAGGTGAGTACCAAAGGAGTGAATTAGACAGTAAATGCACCCTAGAGTCAGGAGAGTCTATTTTAGTTTTGCTGTGAATGTTTAAGGAATTTGATTCAATGCAACAACATTTATTAAGCAGTACATGAAAGACAAAGTGGCAGGGGGTGGATTGGGAAAATACTGGTGACATTTTGTGCTAGAGATTTTCTCAGGCAGTAATGTCAGTTTCAAGCAGCTGGGTGGCACCATGGAGAGTGCCGGACATGGCGTCAGGAGGACCTGATTTCATAGCTAATCTCAGACACTTACTAGCTGTGTGACCTTCGGTAAGTCACTTCACCCTATTTGTCTCAGGTTCCTCATCTGTAAAATGAGCTGGAAAAAGAAAAGGCAAACCACTTTAATATCTCTGCCAAGAAAACCCCAAATGGGGTCATGAAGAGTCGGACACGACTGAAAAACGACTGAACAAAGATTTTGACAGACTGCAATGTTGGACCTGAAATTAAATAAGAGATGACTATAAAGTTATACAATGTATACCTGAGTTGAAAAGAAAAACAAAAACCAACAATAATTTAAAAGAAACAGTACCACAAGTAAGAGATAGAGGAGCATGAGTAGGCGGTAGTTTATTTGAAAAAGCTATGGATTTAACGTGGTATGAGTCCAAGAGTGTGATATGCCAGCCGCAGCAACTGAACATGATCTTGGGCTGCATTAAGAGAAATATGCTATACAGGGCCAGGCAGGCAGGGTCGCATTCTTCTCTGTCCTAGCCACACTACAGTAACTGAAACATTGTGTTCCTGTTCTGATGTCCTATTTTAGGAAAGACATTGATTTACTAGAAAAGGGTGAACAGAATTGCCAAGAGGCTAGAGACCATTATAGTGGAAGCATTGTCTAGTTCTCTGATTTGCTGATCCTTCTCACAGGTACAAGAAAGTAAAAAATTAAAAGTCCTGGCCAAATGTACTATTTAATGCATGTTTATTACCTGTATCTAATCTATATCTAAATATAGATAGATACATATATACATGTAGAGATGCATATATCTATATCTAACTAAATATATCTTTATTGATATATACATATCTCTGTGTGTATCTCAGTCTCTCAGTCTCTCTGTGTGAATTGTGTATTCTTTAAAGTTTAGAGACTGCCTTAAGTTAAGAGTTAGGAAATTCATACCATGGACAGAATTAATGACCTCTTTTTTTGTGGTTATTTGTTTCCCTCAGTTGTAAGAATTCATTGATAAGAAAGGTCCCTCAGATCCCAGCCCAAGGCAATAAGAGCAGACCCATCTCTATGAGGTGAATAATACATTAGCAAAGTCAGTCCTGGAGTGATCCAGACTCTCTTTCCCTTCCTTTTCTCCCTCAACCAATTATAATTCTCAAAGATCCCAAAGCATAGCTTTTGGAATAGGAGAAGCAGATAATACCAGCAATCATTACCCTAGAATCTCTGGGAAGAGAGGAAACTGGTGAAATATTACCCACATATATCAGAAAAGGAAAAGATAAATATATAGATACAGATACAGATTGACATTATATAAGTGTTCATATATTTACGGGGAAAGTTGGGAACCATTTTGCTGCTGTCATCCAATGAATTGGACCCAGATATTATACTGCATGACTCCAAGACTGCACGACATAGGAAAAAGAAATCTAATTGGTCAGATAAGAACATCTCTTACAGAAGGAGGTAACAGCTGTTTTGTGGGCTTTATAGTCCGTGATCATTTGTGACTACAAATATCTTTCATTTGTTTGTATAGTGCTTTAAGGTTTACAAAGTACTTTATAAATATTATCTCATTTTTTTCCTCACAACAACAACTGGAAAGTTATTCTTCCTCCCATTTTACAGTTGAGGAAACTAAGGCAGGCAGAGGTTTAAATGACTCACCCTGGGTCACACAGCTAATAAGTCTTAGGGAGGATTTTAACTCAGATCTTCCTGACCTCAGGTCCAGTTTTTTATTCATTGCGCTTAGCTAAATTTTGTGCGCAGATTATTTTTCATTTCTCTAGTGTGGTTCCTGGCTTTAGAGAGCATTTGCTTCTAAGTCATGGGGAGAGTTAATGGGGTAGTATGATCATAGTCATTCTTTCTCCTTGAATTTGAACCCCCAGCATGTAGTACAGTGCCTGACACCTAATAAGTGTTCAGTAAATGCCTGTTGACTTATTCTTTGTGGAGAGGTGTTTAAAAAGTAACAATAATTTGTCTAAATTTGATATACATAGTATGGGTGGATGTTATTTAAAAAAGAATGTTATTTGAGATCCCAGCTTTTCAAGATAACTATTATAGGTACTCTACTGAGTCTTTGTTTCAGCAAGGCCTCTTTTATATAGAGATATTTGTATCTACCAATGAATCTGCGATCATTTCTGCATGGAAACTTAAAGGAAGCAGAGTGCAATTGAGAAGTCCTAAGGGTTTGGGAAATGTCTTTGACTGGACCTTTCACCTGAAGGATCCACGAAAATCCATAATCATGCCCCGATGGACATATTTGTAATTAAATTCATTTTAACAAGCATTTATGAACCAGCTATTATAGAGCAGGCTCTGTGCTAATAAGTTGGGAAACAAAAGAAAAATGAAATCCATTTGATCATTTGTAGAGGGAAAACTAAGTCTTAGCAGCATCATAGAGAAAAGTTTTCTTTCCAAATAAAATCACTGAGATAATAGTAATGAACTTTGGTAGAATATTAGCTCCTTGAAGTTAGAGGATTTTTTATTTATGTCTTTGTCTGCTCAGCTCCTAGTACTGTGGGTAGAATATGAATAAATACTTGCTAATCAATTGATTATTTAGTTGATATAGTGAGACTTGAGTTTTTTTAAAATGTCTTCTCTATTTTCAGGTGGATTTACTGTGAAGACTGAACAGCTGAAGTTTCTAAACTCTCCTAACCGAGTAGCATTCCCATTTCCTCATGCAGCTATTATGGAAGACCAGGATGGCTCTGTCTCTGGGAATAAGGGAAGTTACCTTCTTGCCTCTGCAGAAAATCTTGCCTCTTCCTGTCAGGTCAACCAAAGCTTTGGTCAGATTGTCAGGGGCAGTGTTTGTGGCCCAGATATAATCCTCCATCGCATGTCTATTGGCTTGTAAGTATGACATCTCTCCATTGTCACCCTAGAGAACATATCAAGCATACACTATGTTGGGTCTCTTCTAAAGGGAAACAGTTCCTCACTTTCTAGATTTAAATGATTGGCTAACAAGAGGGGAACGTCAAGGGATGGTGAATAAGTATTTAAGAATTACATTTGCCCAAACCCTAGGTTGTGCCATGATTTTAAGTTGTCATTTTTTTTTATCACTTAGCCGTAGATGTTTTTGGGAATGGGCCGAAGGCCCCTAAACTCTAATTGACATTTTGGACTAACAGGATTCACTTCTACAACCTTCTAACTAACAGAAAACTTGAAATAGATTTAAATTAAAAATGTTGTTTAAAAAGTTTCCAGCGGTGTCTGTTCTAATTTATATTCACTTTGCCCAAGTGCACCCAAAGTGTTCACTCTGCTCCAGGGTAGCAATTGCTGTGGCCTCCCATTACTTGCAAAGTCACTTCCCTCCAATACATTTTTTTCCTTGTTAATTTCATGAATTATTGGATTCATACAATATATTTCCTATTAATATGGGAGAAAACATTTCTTCGTTATGATGCTCAGACTACCATTAAATCAGCAGCCTGGCTGTTTATAATGAATAATAGGGTGGCCACTGCTCTGCTAAACTTGCAGCTGATGATTGCCAAATGACCTGCTTTTTATCTTTTTCATATTCTTTTAATGTTTATTTTTCCCTTATCTTCTTTCCTCCCTTTGTTTTCAGGTATCTTATTTCCTTGTGTTGTGACCTATTTAAATATAGTGAACCAATCATGGCCTCACTAACATTTTATTTGAATAGATGAATTTGAAATGATGACATAATAAATACCAGAATGATTTTTTAGTAGCTTTTGCTAATAAGCGTCCAGTTTTATTCTAGTCTGATCAGCTTGAAAAATGTTCATTATCAATTTCTATACTTATAACCAATGTCAGAGGGTCACCATGGTCAAAGAATTCACTTAGCAGCCAACCTTCTAGGGATGAATCTTCTCGTATGTAACTAAATTGGTCCCTGGATAGCTTACTCAGTCTATTAAATGTAGGGTGGTACTTGAAGCATTCCTGTCTTAGTAAAATATGACAGATAGTGTTTTACTGCTATAGCTTTTAAAATCCCAAGGCTACCTTTACAGCTATGAGGAAGCATTGAAGTAAGACTTTGTGAAGGCATATAGATATGACATCTAATATTAGTGAGCATCAGTGACTTGAAGATTTGTAGTACCAAAAGAAGAAGTTTTCTTCATAATTCTTATCATAATACCTGACTAAAGCTTGGTTTTTGTCAGAACCTGGTGACCTTCTTCTAGTTATATGGTTATGTTGAAGTTTCATGGTGTGTTGTAGCAGCACCATCTCAAAGAATTCAGTCAGTTCACTCTAATCTAAGTACAAGCATTTATTGAGGATTGATGCCCCTTAGAAGTAGGTTAGGTTACAAGAGGAACCAGAAACTTACTAAAACAACATAGCCAAATTTATAGTGTATTGATGCTGATTACATAACAGAAATTATGAATATTAAAAAGGCAAGAGAGATTTGTTAAGAGATTAGGTACTAGGGAAGGATCCCTTCTACGGTTTGGTGGTCAAATATTTCTGGTTGTGCTGCTTTCTGATTGACTAGCTATTGTGATCCCGTCCGGTCAAGATGGATAGTTAGGTATTTTGGTCCTGTCTTGGGTTAAATGGATGACATGATTGTGGTTGAGTATAAGAACACATCTGTTCAAATATATGAATTGGATCTGGGGGCAGTGGCTCACTAGGAGCAGTGGCTGTGAGTCTGGGGGCCTGTGGTGTGGTTAAAGTCAGATTGTGTGGTTAAATCAGGACATGCCTGCTGTTCAGTGGGGCCCATAAGGCAATTGGAATGTTGGGGCAGGGGGCAGCTTTATTAGGATTCCATCAGTTATGTAAGTGACTCTATGGAGGACACTAGGTAGTTAAAGTTACTCCAACGCTTGATTGCTTTGGGAATATGTAAGTCTGTGCTCTGTTTTTCATAAGTTTTTCATAAGGTGAAGAGACCAAATTAGAAGACTCGGAAATCATATCATATGGTTAGTGATGCTCATGTCTATGCATCTCCTAACAGAGATGATCCTGGTTGCATTTTCATGTAAAACTTCTTGAAGAAGGGGAGCCCTTTCCCATTTTGTCGTTGTATGTCCAGTTCTAAGTATGGTGCCTGGTATACTTGTTGTTGTTGTTGAGCTGTCATGTCTGACTCTTCATGACCCCATTTGGGGTTTTCTTGGCAAAGATACTGGAGTAGTTTGCTATTTCCTTATCCAGTTCATTTTACAGGTGAGGAAACTGAGGCAAATGGGGTTAAGTGATTTGCTCAGGGCCATACAACTAGTAAATGTCTGAGGCTGGATTTGAATTCAAGTCTTCCTGATTCCAGGCTTGCTGCTCTATCCAACACCAAGTTGCTCACCTTGTACTTAACATATGCCTATTGGATTAAATTGGGTTGGATGACTTATTAGCTCTCTGGATCTCTTGAGTTCATCCCATTCTGCTTCCAGTCACTTCTAAATTCTTATAGTTAGTGTGGCAGCTTGGACATACATATGTTGAAATGTCTTTCTAAACCTATCAGAATGTATAAATAGTGGAAATTCAGCATAGTTCAATCTATCAATCAACAAACGTATTAAGTACCTACCAAGTGCCATATACTGTGGTAGGTGCTGGGGATACAAAAACAAAAACAAAAAATTAAAGAAGTTCCTGCCCTCAGGGAGCTTATGTTCTATTGGAAAGATTCATATTTCCTTTTTTTCATTGGAGGTAGAGGTTAATTTAATATATTGTCTTGGCTAAAATACTTTGAGAGAGTAACTCCAAAGTCTTTTACAGGAAGAAAGAGGTTTATGAGGTTATTTTTAAGCTGTGTGTTGCTAGAAAAAATTCTACTGCCTTAATTTCTATGAGTACATCCTTCCCCTTCATTTCAGTTCTCCCTTTCTGACCTTGTGCTCAGGGCTCATATGCTGCCACATTCTGCGAAGGTAGAAGGGAATGGTACCCTGTCCTATAGCTTCCCTGCTCATATCTAAAGAACACTTTTATATCTAAAGAACACTTTTTCTAGAAAGCCAGGGGAGGTGACACCAAAATGGCAGAGTGAACCCAGTATTTTTATAGAGCTCTCCCAACATATCCCTTCTACAACAGCTTTTTTAAAAAAATGCCAAACCAAGTTCTGAACCAATAAAAGGTCTCAATGGGTCATATTTTCAGCCCAGGGCAGCTGAGAAAGACAGAAAGAGAGGTCTGCAGACACAGGGGTGGGGGCTGGCTAGGAGTGTGGGTGGGCTGGCACCAGCTATGGGTTATGACATTAGTGGCACTGGGAGCAACCTTGTACCCAGGGATGATAAATGACTTGGTCAGAAGGCGATCCCAGGGTACCTGTCCCAGGACTGGGAGCTGGGATGAGTGCCATCTGGTAGGCTCTGTCACTCACCTAGTTCTGGATTGCAATTCCAGGGCAGGAAGGAATGGTTGTGGTTGTGAGGGAGCAGGGACCCTACCTGGGTAAGAAGAAGAGCCCAGACCAGGAAGGGAGTGACCTGACCCATCCACATATCACACCATTTTGAAAGCATTCAAAACTTACAGGCTACCACTGAACTGTGAAAAAGGTAGAAAGAGATAAAAGACAAAAGCTCAGGGCAGACATCCCTCCCACCTCCAGAGGTAATCAGAGTCTAAGTCTAACATAAAATCCAAAGTAAAGAGATAGGTTGGAAATATAAACAAACAATTACAAAAAAGAAACTGACCATCAAAACCTATTATGGTGACCTTGAAGGTCAATATAAAACTCAGAAGAAGACAATGACTTGAAAAAAAATCTACAAGGAAGGCCTCAAGAGGAAAAAAAACACAGATTGAACATAAGCCCAAGAAGAATTCCTAGAAGAGCTAAAGAAAGAGATGATAAATAAAAGAACAAAAATTATTTTAAAAATCAGATACAAATGGTGGAGGAAAATTGGGGAAAAATGAGAGGTATTCAAAAAAATATGAAGAGAATTAACAGCTTGGTAAAAGAGGAACAAAAAATAATGAAGAAAATAACTCCTTAAAAATCAAAATTGACCAAATTGTTAAAAAGGTGCAAAACTTCACAAAAAAATAACTCCTTAAAAATTAGAACTGGGCAAATGGAAGCTAATGACTCCATGAAAATCAAGAAACAATGAAATGAATACAAAAGACAAAAATATGAAATATCTCATAGAAAAAAACAAAATGACTGATGTGAAAAATAGACTGAGGAGAGATAATTTAAGAATTATTTGAAAATTGGATGGCTGGGTGGTATAGTGGATAGAGCACTGACCTTAGAGTCAGGAGGACCTGAGTTCATATACAGCCTCAGATACTTAATAGCTGTGTGACCCTGGGCAAGTCACTTAACCCTGATTGTCTCAAAAAAAAAGGAATTATTGGACAACCTGAGTCAAAAAAAGGACCTAGATACCATATTTCAAAAAATTATAAAACTGCCCAGATATCTTAGACCCAGAGGACAAAGTAGAAATTGAAAGAATCCATTGATCATACCCTGAAGGAAAACTCCCAAGGAATATGATAGTCAAAACCAAGAGTTCAAAGATAAAGGGGAAAATACTGCAAGCAGCAGAGAGAAAATATTCAAATACCATGGAGCCACAGTTAGCATGACACAATTTAACAGCTACTACTATAAAGGATCATAGTGCTTGGAATCATGAAAGCATTGATATCATGAAAGGTAAAGGAGCTAGGATTATAATCAAGAATAATTAACTGGGCAAAATTAAGTATAATCCTACAACAAAAAAAGCAAAAATGCACATTTAAAGAAATAGAGACTTTCAGAGAATTCCTAATGAAAAGGCTAGAGCTGAATAGAAATTTGACATTCAAACACAAGAGTCGAGAAACATAAAAAGGTAAATATGAGTGAGAAAACATATGGG